ATGGTCAATGGACCTTTCCGGTAAGCCCCGCCCCTTGGATATTGTTGCCAAGGTCCCACAAGACGACAGTGTTAAAACATACGCGAACACGTGCGTTTGTGGGACAACACGTGTGTTTGTGAGACGCGCGCGTATTCCTAGCGCTGTTCTGATTAGTCAGTTGTTAAGTTTGATTGACACTCCGGAAAGGTCTATTGAAGGTATAATTCCCCCTACCTACACAAATTTGGAATCTTCGCCACGGCTTCCAGCTGAGACGGTGTGCTTTAGCTTTTACTTCACCAGGCGAGCAGGTAGATGGGGGTATGATGGGGTGGGGTGGGGTGCGTAGGTAGGGAAACAGGAACAAGATCTTCCTTGTTCAAGTTTCAACGCACACCCCGCTACTATAATTTACAGAAATATTAGACCTTTGTAATATAGAAGTTCTACACATTATTCCAGCTGTTTACAACACTTCCATGGGGCATTCTGCTTCATATATCGGAGCCATGAACTTACTGAAAAAAGGTATGATGGTTAAAAAGTATAGAGTTCAAACAAATCAATTACCTGTGCTCTTTTCTCCAGGGAAGAGTTCAGTTTGGTTGGGCGAAAGTCTTACTGCACTTTTGTAATTGAGTTGTTAGTCCTCTGGTTCCAGGTGAAAAATCACATGGAGGAGGTATTTACGGTGGCACATAAATGCCATGGCAAACTGTTAGGGTTTCCTGTAACTTCGTGAGTTTGTCATGAGATATTTTGAAATTTTACGATCGCATTGCCGCATTTGGAGTGTTTTTTCCGAAACATTTTGAAATTACTTTCATGCCGTGTATAAAGAAACATTAACTTTATGTGCCTTATTTTTGTTATTTTATATGCCTAAATACAAACATACAGTAATAAAATGGTAATATATTTTTTTTTAATCGGGCTAGTCACATTTTTGAAAAGATTATATCAACATTATACTCAATTTATGGCCGTATTCGTCTGGTCGTTCTTCGTTAAACCACGCCCACCTGCACGTTGGTAAAACTCTACTTAACGAAGACGACCAGTCGAATAGAAAACTGGTAAATACTCGACAAAACAAAATGGCTGCATAGTTACCGCTGCATAATCAAGGCTGCTTCGGATTGTGGCAATATGGGTTTTTCGTAAAAAAATGTTTTCATCCGGTTTTTGAATTCTGTTAGCCTACAAGTATTTTTGACTTCATTATAGGTAAATATTAGGATTTTTATTTTCTGAAATTTAATCTAAATTATATTAACGCAAATTTTGTTGCTTAACTGACCAATCGGCCATTTTTTTGTCACGTGCATAATTTAACGCTGATTAAAGATGTATTGTCCCTTGCTAATGTCAAAAAATCATAAAAAATAATTAGGAAATAAATCTGCTCATTTTGCAATAGCATACAAATTATTAACTTGTGCATAAAAATTATTGAATTAAAAAAAATGTGTACCCTGAATAAAAATAATAAAACACTTCCAGTGACTGGAAGTGTTTCTATCATTTTTCGCTGTAAACAGATGGGTAGACATTTTTTATATACACTAATTTTTATGTTCAAATTGATAACTTTTATGTTACTTCAAACTGGGCAAGCTACTTTCAAAAAATATTTTTATGATTTTTTTTTTTTTTTTTTTTTTTGTATTTAGCATGGGACAATACATCTTTAACGCATTCTGGTTACGTTAATTTTCGTTGTCAACGAAGTCTATTTTACGAACCAGTCGACTGGAAATAATACTCAACGAAAATTCGTACTCAACGAAATGAACCAGTTGAATAAGCCCAATGCCATTAATACAAACGTATGTAAATTTATTGTGAAAATGTAGTGTTGTACTTCAGCTATTTCTATATATTTTCCTGTAATTTTGCAAAAGTTGTTGCTCCAAGTAAATATTCTGTAGACCTAAATGAATAAAAACTAAATTATCTCCATCGATCTCTGATCTGTATTTAATTGAAATTTAAAAACTAATTAGATTTTAAGAGTGTTCCCCATATTTTACTTCCCACCCTTCTTGTTATAGGTCTACGCTATACCAACATCGCATTACAATACCGTACGTTTTCTACATCAATTTAATTTACGCATGACGTTCTGACGACTTTGACTGTTTTATTCATTCATATTTCAAAACTGTGCAAATTATTTCCGATAATTTCCCCATCATCCGTTGCCTTTGTGACCTATCACACTCGATCATGTCTCTCCTATGTGTAGATCACGTTTCAATTTGTCCCGATTTCTTAACCCGCCTCTCAAATTCGACAAGATGTTGTCTTATCATATTCGTATACTGTACAGTACTCAATTCACGCAGCGTTCCAAGTGCGGTTTTTCGTTTAATTTATTAGAAATTTCTAAATGTAGACCCGAAACTTGTAATAAATCATACAGTCATAAACAAGTTCCGTCGTCACTACGTCATTAATGATCTTGAGGTAAGGAGCGGAAATGGATTTGTCGGCCAACCTACGACAGTCGTACGATACACTGCGCGTGCCCAGTTTTTTAAAACATAGACTCCATGGCCTCATAGGCCTAATTTCCAACTCAAATTAGCCAAATCTGCGACTGCAATGAACGTCGACACCCAAGGGTTAGCATTTTTCTGCAGGCGCCTAATTACAATGTAAAATGTACAAGTCAGTTATAATCAAATAAATCAATCAATCGACTCTCTCTTTATCTTTCTCTATAAGCCTATAATATTGATAATAATGACAATAATAAAAATATTTGTTTAATGTTTTAAAGCCTATATTGTTCATTGTTAATGCAGTGAAACATTATGTTAACATTATTATTGTTATTGTCATTATCATTATCATCAATCAACAATCAATTTCTTCTTTATTGTAACTTTGAAAGTTGAAATTTACGTACATACATATATGGCCTACTATATTATATTTAATTTCCATGTTGTAAAAACGACATGGAATTTGTAGTCTTTCAACTGTTCATCATAGCTTTATCCTGAGGGCTTTTGTTTTCTCCGGAAGTGATTATTCCTTTGTATCCTTATAATTGTTCACGCTCCCGCTATAAAATAAATGAATATTCATAACCCAAATATAGCCTATTTGAAATACTTTTGAAATCATTAAGTATTTCAATTCAATTTTGCATTTCATTAATATTTACAGTGTTTTTGAAATAGCTAAATAATATTATAGAATTTTATGTAATGAATTCATATATAGTTATTATGACAATTAAAGGAACTAATAATGACATTTAGATATTACATTCAATGCATTTATATATATAGTCATACCCTTCGGAATTGAAGCATACTTACCTGGCACAGGAGAGACTTTGATCAAGAAGGAAGTCCTCCCAAGGCGAGGCCACGGCATTGCACTTAGCTGTGGTTGACCCTTGCGATTCCCCCAAATGTGGGGAACTCGGGTGTATAATTTATGGTAGCGGGGGACTGCGTTCGCGCTAACCCCCAATAATTAAATTTAAAAAAAGTAGAAAGTTACACACAAACTAGTTATATTGTATTACATGCTTCCAAATCTAAAATGTAGGAAAAATGCATACTGTACAGTCTGTCTCTTATACACATCTAGATGTGTATAAGAGACAGGCGTTTATGTTAACAACTGCAGTGTTATTTTATACAATCGAGACATACGTGGAACTTCATCGACTAAATCGATCAGATATGAATTTTTATATATATATGTATATATATTGTGTGTTTGTTGGGGTCTGCAGGTGTATATGTATGTGTATATATGTGTATATGTATGTATATACAGTATGTATGTGTATATCTGTCT